ACACAGCCTGCAGGTAGCCACTGGTGATCTAGCAGAGTGGCTGGGAGAAGAGAGCTCTTGTGCACTGATGAGGGGGTGAGCGCTGATGTTTTCTGACTGCTTGGGGGAGAGGAGCCCAGGGTTCCAAGCCCCGGTGAAAAGCTTGGAGAGTCCCTCAACCTGTCCCAGTACAGTAGGGAGTTTCCTCTTATCCAATTCAGGCATCACAAACATTGTGTGGTGGATAATGGCCTCCCCTGGGGAGTTCCCTGAAAATTTTCAAGAAATTAAAAAAAAAAAAAAAAAAAAAGAATCTTGCAAAAAGGATTCAAACAAATGAACACTCAGGACTTAGAATCTGGAGTCATGAGATCCCAGGCTAAATTGTGCTATCAACTTGCTGTGTGATTTTAAGCAAATCCTTTCCTCTTTCTGTGCCATGGTTTCTTTTCTGGAGCTGAGGCCTTTGCAGGTCTAAAGCTGTGGGGTTCTAAATTGTGCCAAAGAGGAATACGGAGTTGCTTCCAGAACTCTGGAGGAGATTACAATTAGCAGACACACACAGTAAGGGAGAATCAGGGTAACCATCAGAAGCAGCACAATGCTGGCTCTTTTTAGAGGGCAATTTTGTCTACCTACTTCTGCTAACTGGGCCTTATTGAAGCCTGGTCTGGTCTGCAACTTGTAGTGTCGTTTATAACGTCGTAGGGTGTTCACTTGCAGCTGGAACAGATCAACCTAGGGAGAAGAAGAGAAAAATGTTATCCATCACTTGACCAACCAGGACTCACCAAGAGCCCACTATGTGCCTAGCACTGCACTAAGGTAGGGGTGAGGATGGGGAGGGCTTCAAAAGAGGTCTTAGAAATGGTCCATTGAGGACTAGTAACTGGTTGGGAGGGCAAAAATAACAGTGGAAAAACAGTTCTGGCTGGGGTGGGCTGATCTCACACAACTGGTGGAGAAGGTAAAGCTTAAGCTAAGGAGAAGCAGGGTCTGATAAGGCACTGAGAAACAGGGTAGGGAATAGGAGAAAAGATCAGAGCACAGAAAGCTGGAAGAGGCACTGATGGGCAAGGGGGTCACAGGCAACTGTGATGGGTTTAAAAGGTGAGAATGGATGGTAGCACATCTAGAAAAACAGAAGGAGCTATCACAGAGGGTAGAGGGTGATGGCACAGGATGGGTCTGGTGGTGGCTATTGGGAACACTGATGGGGGAACACAGAGGGAGATGCTATAGCAACAAGCAGAATGAGATAAAGAGGTTGAGCTTTGGAGAGGCAGTGATGCTAGAAGGGACACCAAAGATGGAGAGCAAAGGCAAAAAACCAGAGACATCCTGGAGGAAGATAGGCCAGAACGAGGCAGCGACCAGATAAAGGGGCACAAAGGAGGGCAGTGGGAAGAACTGTTATCCTCAAATAGCTCTTTCCTAGGCCCAGCCTTCTGGTATTAGAATCCTTAACCTCCCTCCAGAGAAAGTTCAAAAGTTACTGTAGTGAATGTGCAAACCAGCAGGTTAGGGTTGGGGTCTTTGCAGATGACTGGATAACAGAGGGGAAGGGACCCCCCCTTTTTGTTTCTAACAAAGGAAGAGAGGAAAGCTGCATAGTCATGAAAAATCGAAGGCCCATAAAGTTGGGCTGCCTTTACCTGCCTCTAAAAGAGCTGTTCTTGCTTCAGGCAGGTGGAGAGCACTTAAAAACAAAATGAATGATCAATATGAGGGGCCAAAGTCCTTCATTCTTTTCAAAACATTCCTTAAAACCTTTTTTTTTTTTTTTGGTGAAAACCACTTAGAAATCGAATACATCCATTTCTTTATAAAATAACAATAATGCTAAAAGCAACAGCAAGATTCTGTAAACCAACATTGGAAAAGGGGACACAGGGAGGGGCAGAGGGAAAGGGCCAGATTTTCAACGGTTTCCTCCACATCTGCAGACAAAGGCCCGCCTACTCTTTCTATTCCTACACAGTCATTTTCACTCTGAGTGCTAACAGGCGGTTGCCTTATGAAATATTCATGTGTCAAATATTCAATGTACACTATAAACGGTTCTTCTTTTGCTGAGTCTTGAGTGAAAACAATTTAGTAAAAAGAAAATCCAATATTCCTTCCTGAAGCCTCACTTAATAGACACAGGCACCTGAAGGGAAGGCGGCCTTCCAGTTTGAGAAGCCTAGGTCTCATGGTCTAGCGCAGTGGTTCTCAACACAGGACGATTTTGTCTCGTAAAGGAGGTGTGGCAATGTCTGGAGACACTTTTCGATTGTCATGACTCAGGATGGTGATGGGTAGAATCCCATGAGGGGATGCTGCTGAGGCATGCTGTTAAATATCCTACAATGCAGAGGACAGTCCCCACAACAAAAACTATCTGACCCCAAATATCAACAGTGCTAGAGTTGAGAAAACCAGGTCCAGTTTAGTCAACTTTGAAATGGATCCTTGGGAACAGCCTGGACTAGGTGTCAAGAAATCAGTGAGAGAAAATCAGAGCTGGTATGAAATGATGACCTACATCTTCATTTTTTAGGGAAGAGACTTCTCCCAAACCATTACACACTCTCTAAAGGTTTTAAACAAGGTTTTTAAAAAAGTGACACTGTGGTTGTATTTATGCATTTGTCAGGGGCGTCTTGCAGAAAAACAGCGTGGTCTACTGGAAAGGGCCCCAGACTAGAGCCTCCAAACTATATACCTGACCTTGGCTCTCTGTGCCTGTCCATAAAATGATGGGGCAGTCTGACCAGTGGGTATCCAAGCTTTTAGCTCTCAGATTCCGTATTACTATAATTCACTTTTCAAATAATCCACAGCAAAACAAAGGGGACTAAAATTACTTCTTAATACAAAAAGCAGACCAGGCCAGAGATGAGGATCAGATTAGAATCCATTTTTCCAGCTTCCGCAAATTGATTTCTTTGACCTTTACCTCAGGAATGTCAGTGTCGTGCTCGGGAGAATCTCCACCATCGTCACTTGTCTTCCTCTTCCTTTTATTTCGGACACTCTGGATGAAATTTTTGTGAAAATCACAGATATACAGGTGCCTTACCTGACGGACAGAAAAATCAAAGTCAGAGTTGGCCAATTCCTTGGAGACAGCAACAGGTATCTGTCAAATTGTGGGGCTTCCGTCCATTGTAGGGCATTGGAGAGATAGACGGAAGACAAGATGTAGGCCTCCCAGAAGCTCACTACTGAGGTGCAGAAGAACACCAAGAGAACGCTAACATCACACTTTGTGGTGTATCATACACCAAGCCTCCTGTGAATGGTGAAAACAGTAAATGGTACAGATTCAGCAAAGGAAGAGATTCCTGCAACAGAGATGCTCAGGGTGAAGGGCCCTGACTAAAAGGGAGGACTTTAGGCAGACAGGAAGCATTCCAGATGGGTAGGAGTGCCAAGACTTTAGAGTTTCCAATGGAGGATGACAGAAAGAGTGAGTGAGGAGGCCCAGCGTACAGTGTCAGTTGGGTGATGATGGCTGCCCATGTAATGTAGGAGCATAATGAAAAAGTGAGGCATCTGGGCGGTGGGCATGAGAACAGCTTAGACTTTCCTTCCGACAAGACAGAGTCCCTCAAGGAAGGAGGGAGTGATGCGACATTTTCAGAAGACCTGTAGGAGTCACGAACTTCTAGTGGGCTGGAATGCACTGTCCTGGGGAGGAGGAAAGCAGGACACAAGGGACTGTGGCAATGGTATTTGGGACACTCTATTTTTACACTTACAATAGCTACTATTGTAGGATAATAATTCTCTGAAAAACTTTGTTTCTATGTGTCAATTTAAAATTCTTGCATTATCTCACATCTGATCCACAAAGAAAAGTGGAAAAAGATGTGGAAATTCTTACAAGGTAGAACCACATACAAGAAGGTGGATACTACAGATTTTCTAATAGAGGATGGAGGTAAGTGAAGGTGGCAGCAACAGCTAAGACATGAAGAATCCTCCATGGCTGGCTGGAGGAGCCATTGAAAAACCTTACAGAAACTGAATGCCTGGCAAATGACTTGGGGTTGTTGATAGTGAAACAGCTGTTTCACAAATGTTCTGCAGAGACTTCTGAATTTGAGTTTATTCCTTAAATCCTTAAAGATAAAAGTAAGCTGGCAGGAAATCGCATCAATTAATTCAGACCTTTTCATGGAGAAAATAATGAAAACTGTTTATTCAGATGAATGATCACTTTCATGTGGCTGGATTAGTGAATCATGAATACTTCTAAGTTTATACCGTGATGGTGTCTTGCAGACAGGAGGTACTCGGAAAATGTTGATGTACCAATATAGGAAATCTCCTATATCTAAAAGTGGCTTAGGCTAATGAAAGCCACTACTTATGTGGTTACAAATTGGGATAGCTTTGTCAGATTCAACCCGGACTTTCGAACACAGCACATGCCACTGTCCCTAAGAATCCCACCTAGCTGATGTATATAATACTGAACACGCTTTTCTCCAGGAAGAAAGCACAACAAAGCCCACTCTGCAGCCCTGAGAGGAAGCTGGTCCTGCATGTTAGCTAGACTGGCGAGACCACTCAGATCAACTGCTCAAGTTCACATTAACAAACTTATAGGAGAACAGGGAGAATAGGTGGCTTCCTAAAGCTTCGGCTGGGAGATTTCAGATCAGGACAATAGAATAACAGAATCCTAGTTGTAAGAGAATTTAGCAATCACTAGTACAATCCCATTGACCCCAATCCCGTTTTCTAGAGGGGTAAAAATGAAGCCATCCAGAGTGAGGAAATGACCTGGCCAAGGTCACCCAGGCCTTCTGCCCCCCTAGTACATGTCTTTTCCTACCCCAGCATTTTCCTTTATACTATTCTCAACTTCCACTTTTCTCCGGGAATAAAAAAAAAAAAAAGCAGAAATATGTCAACTGGAGGTGTATTAATATTTTAATAGATCACAGAACACTGCCAAAGTCTATATAAAATGAGTTAAACAGCCTGAGTTGAATTTTTGGTGCTGTTATTTAAAAAGGTTCTCTGCTAGACTCTCTTACAAGATAAATAATCATTTTCTCCTTAACCCTTTTCATGTACATACTGGTTTTCAGAAATTTCAGAGCTCAGTGGCCTTTGGGAGTGGGGTCGGGGCAGGAGGTGGTAGCAAAGGCTCTAGTTTTTTTTCCTTCACTTTCTGCAATAGCTAAAAATTATTGTAACATAGCAGTTACTTGGAATTGAATTCCTGCCCAAGCCTGTGAGAAAGAAATAGAATCCCTTTCAGAAATACTGACTCCACAACACCACCTTAAAACAAATTGTGAATGATTCCACCTGGAAACCTTACTCCTTCAGAAGTATTACCTTTTGGGAACACTAATGCTAGGCTCAGGCTGCCCTTCTTCTAGACAGTGGGTGTAAAATGATTAGCATAGCTCAACGTAGGTTTTCAAGTAGAGTCAATGGGTAAATAAAAGGAGTCCTGGTTGCAGCAGCAAAATCGTTCAGATGGGAAGGCATCCAGTGATCTAAAAGGACTGGAAGATTCTATTTTTTTAAGGACTGGAAAATATTATTATAAGCTGCTCAAGTAAAGCAGCTTCTAACAACCTACACAGAAGGTAGGCAGTGTTTCTAAGTGGATGAATTCATTGTCATAAGCATTTCACCTCAATAGGTGACCTAACAAGGGATCACCTTGTTGTGTAGCCCCTTGTTTGTTCTCAGATAACTTCCATTCATGTATTCATTGATAGAGATTTGTAGTAAGAAAGCCATTAACTCTCTCCCAACCACTTAAAAATAGCAACTGTCCATGCAAGAGTAGCAACTGTATTATAATGATTAACTTAAAAACAGGGGTAGGAGGGAAGAGTCTGAAGAAAGGACAGGGGGCTGGGCACAGTGGCTCACGCCTGTAATCCTAGAACTCTGGGAGGCCTAGGCTGGTGGATCATTTGAGGTCAGGAGTTCAAGATCAGCCTGTCCAACATGGCGAAACCCCATCTCCACTAAAAATACAAAAATTAGCCAGGCATGGCAGCAAACGCCTGTAATCCCAGCTAATCAGGAGGCTAAGGCAGGAGAATCGCTTCAACCCAGGAGGTGGAGGTTGCAGTGAGCCGAGATCTTGCCACTGCACTCCAGCCTGGGTGACAAGCGAGAGACACTGTCTCAAAAAAAAAAAAAAAAGGACAGGAGAGATTTTTTATTTATTAGAGACTTAATGAAGACTTATGTATAGGGCTTGGAAGTAAATTAGATAGTATGTTTAAGAAATTAACCAGTCTCCTAGGTGCTGTGTGTATCTGACACCCTCACTTCCTATCTCTGGGCCTATTTCAACCCTAAAACCAGAGAGGAAACGTGCACTCCCTTTCAGTTTAACAAGCAGTCTCTGATTTCCTACAACTGTGGAGAAATTCTGATTCTAAAAGAGAACGGATGTTAACCACCTAAGCTCTTAGCTAGTTTACCTGAATATTAAATATCCCCTTAACTCATTTTCAATTCCTAATCATGAAGCAATCACTTAAGGCTTGCAGCAACAGATGTCAAACTAAAAAGTTCTTAATTGGTTAACAATAGGCACAGCTTCAGAATTGTTAACTAGAAGTGGTGAAATCACACAGAAGTTTCCTATAATAAGCCACAAAGAGCAGGGCAATCCGATTTAAATTTAAATCTCCACCCCCTTATTTCAAAAGAAACTACCACTAAGAAAATTGATTTCTTTTCTTCCCCCTCCAGTCACATCGACTGCAAGAGCCATTTCCCAAGACCTGGCCTTGGTCTTATTTCCGCCACATCCTAGAAAAACCCATTCCCACAGTTGCCTGCGAAGCAGCTATCTCTGTGACACTCTGCAGATACCGAGGCTGCGGGAGCCAGGGAAGTAACTGCCACCTTTCTCTGTCTGAAGGAATAACAGGGTTCCTAGAAGGAGAGAGAAGTTGGAAAAGAGCCGGGTATCTTCATCACCCGCCCCTCCGATTCTTGCTGCTTCAAGGGCCAACAAAATTAACCCACCTCTCCCTGCTCTACAGTCTAAACCATAAACCAATAAAACAAGTTGGAAACTGCTGTCCGATCTTCCCAGGCAGCAGGAGTCCTGAAGTCCCCGCCCCCATCCTCCCGGATCTGGGTAGAATCAGTCAGAGCATGTCAGCGCTGGAGCGGCCTTTGAAATGCCGAGTCCAACTCAGTTCTGCAGACGCGGGGCGGCGAGGCCCACGGCGGGTAGTGCCCAGGGAGTCCCGACCGCAGCCCGGGGCAGCGGACGGAGAGCTGGGGGCGCCGGGGCCCAGACGCGGGTGGGGGCGGACTCACGCTCTTGTCGATGTCCAGCTTGAGTTTCTTCTGCGAGATGCTCTTCTGGACCCTCTTGCTGAAGGAGGCGTTGCCCGCGGGCCGGACGCAGCGCTCGCCGTCCTCGATGAGGCAGCAGCTCTGGCCGTAGCCCGGGGCGGCAGCGGCAGCGGGGGCAGCGGGGGGCCCTTCGCGGCTGTCCTCCTCCGTGCTGAAGCCGTTCATCTCCCCGCCCCGGGCCGGTCCCTCTGGGGGAGGGTCCCCGGTAGGCCACTCCGCGGCCGCGCGTGCCGCGGGGCAGGTCGCTGAGACTCCCGCACCCGAGGGTCCCAGAGTCCGTCTCCAGCCCGGGCGCTGCCCTGCCCCGCGTCCGAGAGGCCTGGGTCCCTCCGCCCCCGGCTCTCCGCCTCCGGAAGCCCCCTTCCTCCCCGCTCGAGGCCCCGGGGTCGGCTCCCGCGGCTCGCAGGGCCCCGCCGGGGGTCACCCAGAGGAGCCTTCTGCCGGGGGCCCAGAACCGTAACCCTGCAGCGGGGGCGTCCGGGAGGGCGTCCCAGGAAACAGCCGCTCCCTAAGGACTCCGGGCCTGGGTTGCCAGGGGGTTTCGAAGGCCCCCGCCGGCTCCCGCCTTCTTTCGGCTGCGGGGCAAACTCGCTGCCGGGCAGCTCCCCCGGGGTGGCGCGGCCTCCTCGCGCGGGGCCCGGCCTCGAACCCGCGGCACCCGGGCCCCGCGGCTCGTCCGGCCCACTCCACCCCTGCAGCAGCTCAGCTGCGCCCCGAGTCCCGCGGCAGCCCCAGGGCCGCCCGGCCGCCGCCCGCCGAACGCTCCGCACCACAACAGTTCGCTCCCCCCGCCCTCCGCGGGACAACGGAAGTCCCGCCTTCACGCGACCATTGGTCTCATTTGCTCTCTGGGCGGGGCTGCTGCCGCCGCTGGCGCGTCCCATTGGGCGTCACCACCGCCAGTCTCCGGCGCCAGGCTACTTCCTGGACTCTGCTGGGATGGGTTCAAAGTAGAGAAAGTGGAAGAGGAAAGAGTTACCCCGGCGAGAACTGGGAACCGGGCCGCAGACTCTCCGGCCCCGGGGAGGGATGGTGAGCAGGAGCCTGGCTGGACCGAGGGCCAGACTCCAGGAACAGAGGAACACATTCGGGGACAGACAGTTGAGACGCGGAAGGGGACGCTGAGGGACAGACTTGGAGGAGCGGCATATGAGGGGACCTAGAGAGGATAGAGGTGCTATCATGAGAGGGACGGATTAATAAAATGAAAGGGCCAGGGCCAGAGGACTCGCGAATCCATGGGAGGAAGGGTGGGTGAAATAGGACGGAAAGCCAGTCATGGCGGGAAAGACAGAGGGACAACCACATACAGATACGTGGAAAGACATGCGGAGGAGGTGATGGGGGATCTTGCAAGGTAGTCGCAATGTTGGGGGTAGCCGATCCCTTCCAGACTGTGGAGAGTGGGACTGGCTTGGACGGCGCGGAAAAAAAAGCAGAGGGGGAAAGGAGACCCTGAGGGGTTTGGGCGACCCCTCCACTGGGAAGAATGGGGAGTCCGAATGAGGTCTGGAGGGTAGACTAGGTGAGCGGCGGGCAAGAAGAGAGGCTGCAGGGGAGATGGAGTGAAGGCTGGGAGTGGGCCAGGGGCCAATCTCGGGATCTAGATGGAGAAGGGCTGCGGTGTCTTGGGCCCTCCCTGGAGCTCCAAGCTGTGGTTCTATTGCTTTGAGCCCCCAGGTCTACCGGCGAAGTGAATGCGCCCTGCCAAGACCCTGCGCTTGGTTTCAGCGCCCAGGGCGCCACCTCCCCTCCAGGAAGGGCCGTAGGATATCCTCTGGTCCAGCACTTCAGTCATGCCACCCTCCAACTGGGCAACATGGTGACTGATGAGGTCCGAAGGGCAATGGGACCAGCCCAGGGTCGTGTAGTCATGTAGGGCTGGGCAGCGTTTTATGGACAGGGAAGAGCAGAGGATGTGTTAGGTGATAGGTAAGCAAGTGTTAGGACTAGAGGGCATTGAAGGAGCTTCGGGTTTGTGTCCTGTTGAAAAAGGGGAAGCTACCACTTTCCATGTTTAGAAGCAGATGTCTGGTGATCTTAAGTTTTGCTCAGTGGCCATAAACGCATTTGTAGCATCTGAACTGGTAATTTCACACGTGGCACAGCCATTGTTGGAAACAGGCCTACCAGAGATAATATGAAGTACAATGATGTTCATTATGGAATTATTTATAATAGGAAAAATAAAATAGAACCTCAGAATTCCAAAAGGGAAGTAGTTAAGTAAACTACCTAAAATCTTCAGAAAGAGATATTGTGCAGGTAGCATTTAAGGTAGTTTCAACATCAATGTAAACATTTTCTATAGAGAATAATTCACCATTAATTCTTTTTTTTTTCTTTTTTTTTTTCTGAGACGGAGTCCCTGTCGCCCAGGCTGGAGTACGGTGGCGTGATCTCGGTTCACTGCAGTACCTCCGCCTCCCGGGTTCAAGTGATTATTTTGCCTCAGCCTTCCGAGTAGCTGGGACTACAGGTGCATGCCGCCACACCCGGGTAATTTTTTTTTATAGAGACGGGGTTTGGGGTTTCACCGTGTTAGCCAGGATGATCTCAATCTCCTGGCTTGATCCGCCGGCCTCGGCCTCCCAAAGTGCTGGAATTATAGGCGTGAGCCACTGTGCCCGGCCAACCATTAATTCTTAAGAATGGTTGAGGAGTTGGAGAAACGCTTTTTTAATGATAGGTAAAAAAATTCAGGTTACGGAATTTCATGTAGGATAGGATGTCTGTACATCTATGTTTAAAGAAAAAAAAAAAACTATTGGTATAAAAAATACACCAAAGTACTAATAGTGATTATTTCTGGGTAGCAGGAATATGGCTGATATTTTTCTCCTTTTGTTTAACCTTTGCATTTTCTTTAATAAGCATTATTTTTGTTTTTACAGTAGAAAAAATAGAATAAAAATTAATGGAAAAAAGGCACAGATTAATAGGAGTCTTCCCTCAGAGTTCATATATTCTATTCAAAAGTAAATTGTTGTTGAACTCCTTATGTATACCACGTATAGGGCTGGCTATAGGAGGAGGATGAAACATAACCCTTGCCCTAAAAGAATATCTCCTATCTGGGGTGTTCAGACATGTATGTAGAAAACACTTGGATATCTGTACCAGGCACTGTGTAATGTTGGTTCCAAAGTCAGTTGGTATGGATGCAAGCTCCACGTTTCCCATATTTTTCTAAACAGCATTTGCATACAATGCTAGGCTATTGTGGCACACACAACTTCTGCACCAACTTCCTCTGATCTAAGGGGATCTGGGACCTTTTCTTAGGTGCTCTGTCTCAGTGCTTGAGGTAGTGGCTACTTATATCTGCTATTCTTGTATTATTTAGCATTCTTTTTTCTTTTTACTAGGCAGTTCCTTATAACTGTAGGGGACTACAGTCCCCTATTATAATTAATACATGTTTATATTATTATTTTCCTGTTCAAATTACTGTAGTGGTTACTCTTTCCTGATTACACCTAGACTGATACCCCAGCCAGCCTCTGTGTGTGTGTGTGTGGTGGTGGGGGGGGAGTTCAGTTCATACTTGTATGCTTGTAAACGTTCTTGTAATCGTTTTTTTGTTTTGTTTTTTGAGATGGAGTTTCACTCTTGTTGTCCAGGCTGGAGTGCAATGGTACGATCTCGGCTCACTGCAACCTCCGCCTCCCGGATTCAAGCGATTCTCCTGCCTCAGCCTCCCGAGTAGCTGGGATTACAGGCATGCGCCACTGCTCCCGGCTAATTTTGTATTTTTAGTAGAGATGGGGTTTCTCCATGTTGGTCAGGCTGGTCTTGGACTCCCAGCCTCAGGTGATCCGCCCGCCTTGGCCTCCCAAAGTGCTGGGATTACAGGCATGAGCCACCGCTTCTGGCCATTCTTTATGTATAATTTTGTAGTCTTTATTCAAGGAATACTTTACCATAATCTTTCCCCATATTACTATGTAGTTTTCACAGTTGCCATTTTTCATGTGGTACAGTGCAGTTGCTGTAGTACAGTACACTGTGGTGCTAAAGACAGTTGGCTTTGGGGCCGGGCGCGGTGGCTCAAGCCTGTAATCCCAGCACTTTGGGAGGCTGAGATGGGTGGATCACGAGGTCAGGAGATCGAGACCATCCTGGCTAACACAGTGAAACCCTGTCTCTACTAAAAAAAATACAAAAAACTAGCCGGGCGAGGTGGCAGGCGCCTGTAGTCCTAGCCACTCAGGAGGCTAAGGCAGGAGAATGGTGTAAAACCGGGAGGCGGAGCTTGCAGTGAGCTGAGGTCCAGCCACTGCACTCCAGCCTGGGCGACAGAGCGAGACTCCGTCTCCAAAAAAAAAAAAACAAAAAAAACACGACAGTTGGCTTTGCTGTCAGAACTGGATTCAGATCTGGAGTCCACTCCTTACTTGTTATAACATGTTAGCAAATTATTTCACTTCTTAAGTCTGATGAAATGGGTGGTGACAAATTCTTAACACAGTGCCTAGAACATCACAAGTGGTTAATAAATGTCAGCTATCATGATTCCTACCATAGTTACATTTGCCCTCCAAGAAGTTGGATATCTTTTTTGTATGGTTCTGTAGAATTATTTTTGAACATAAAACTTTTTATTATTTAGGATTATTATTTTTTCTGAGTGCCAGAGATGGAATTGTGGTCAAAGACTACAAAGTTTTCCAAGGTCTAAGGGCCAGGCTCACTGACCCTTTCTTTTTTTCTTTCCTGTCTTTTCTGCCTCTGCCCTCCCCACCCTCACTCCTTCCATCTAGTCAGGCTCCAGTTGAAAAGTTATTCCTCAACACGCCTTAAAGAATCAGAGTTGGATACCTTGGCCAAGCAGTCACAGTCCTACAAAAGCTCTTTCCTCTTTCTCTCCTCTTTTTCCCTTTTTGGGGAATGTGGCATATGGCTCTGGGAGTAATTTCCAATGACTGCCTTTCTTTGGGAACAGGTGGACACTTAGGTGTCCAGTGACTGGGTTTCTAATCCTTAGGTGGCTCCTGATTGTATAATAGTGGGTACTTGCTGGGTTAAGCCTGTGGCTCAAACTGTACTCGTCAGTTTCTCTCATGCAAATCTGTTGATTGGAACTGACAGGTGGTTGGTGGGAGTGATTAGAGCAAAGGCACTAATGGTAGGTCCTGCCTCCTGTGTTCCCCAGGGCCTGGTAGTTGAGCTTGCCCTTGGGTTCTGTAAGGTGCTCATAGATATGTTGGCATGAACCAAAAGTATCTGAGACAGGGCTCAACTTAGAAGGTTTATATTGCCAAGGCTAAGGACGTGCCTGTGACACAACCTCAGGAGGTCCTGACTATATGTGCCCAGGGTGGTTGGGATACAGCTTGCTTTTACACATTTTAGGGAGACATGAGACATCAATCAATATATATAAGATGTACATTGGTTCCATCTGGAAAGGCAGGACAACTCGATGCTGGGGCTTCCAGATCATAGGTAAATAAGAGACAAATGGTTACATTCTTTTGAGTCTTTGCTCAGCCTTTCACTAAATATACAATTTACGTGTGGGGAAGGGGCAAGGTGGCTGATAGAGGAATAGTCATTTATGCCTTTGTCTCAGTGGATCTGCAATTTTACATAAACAGTAGGGCAGAGGAAGCAATCAGATACTCATTTGTCTCAGGTGAGCAGAGGGATGACTTTGAGTTCTGTCCTTTGTCCCACACCTATGAAGATGAGCTATCCATTTACATTGCCAGGGTGAAACTCAACAGAACTGTTTTAGGGTAAAGATCTTGAGGCCCACAAAGAATTTCCTTGTGGGCAAATTGTGAGGGAGGTCTGTAGCTTTTTTTTTT